TGGTGATATAAGGGAGTAAAGCTAATAAGGTCGAAGCGTGTACACACCAGTCAATATTTCATAATAAAACAATACAAAGATGGGGATACACCCTTTAAAATTTAATAAAACAATATGGTTAGTGTCTTGGGTCCTTACCTATTACTACAGAATGAACTCTTCCTAACACTATGTATACTACGCCTCTCAAGAGAGAGGGTTCAATCGAGCCGAGCTTCTAGGCTTGACGGTCGAACTCTCTGCCTCTGAGCAGAGAGGGACCCGGACGAGTCTCGTTCGGGGAGGTTGACCAACCCGATCCCGTTTATATGGATTCTAAGGGCATTTTTTGGCCGAACCTACGGGTTCGGGAAAGCCACGTTAAACTCGGCCTTGTGCCATATGCAACCCTCGTGGGGGGGTGGCTAGATACCGAATCGAGTCGAGCCGATAGTAGTTCACTCCAAACCAGACTGACAGTCATACTAACACCTTCCACATCTTGTATTATTATTTCGTGTAATATACCTTCGTTATTTCTACTCTTGTCTTCGTGTTGTTCTTCCTTGGTCCTAACCTGGACCATAACAGTTAGTTTATCTCGAGACCTGAGCAAACAGTCGAAACGTTGAGCTTAAAATTAGAATGATTAGAATAATAGATTGAGTAATCGATATAATAATAATGATAATAATGTTGCCAGGTATTGGCACCCACTGAATATAAAACCCCGCATGACAGAGTGGGTTAATATCTGCACTGGCAAATCTGCAACTTCTACGGGAAGGAAACTGAATGAAATTGGTATGAACACCATCCAGACCCTGTAGTAAAAAATAAATGAGGGGTGTGGCGTTCACCGACAGACTGAATCTTCTTCTTCTTCTTCTTCTTCTACTTCACTCGCCTAAAGGATTCTGGAGCTCTATTTCTTCGCCACCACACACTGGGCACTTTTCAGTTGACAAAGTCAGTCGCGTCTTTTTCACCTTCTTTTCTCCTGTCAATCCATTCGTCAGACTGGCAAATGTAATTCGTCCAAGAAAGAAAAACCCTTGCTTTTTATGTCTCCTCAAGCAGGCCAGAATTTGCATATATGCAAATCCTGTCTCGTAGAGACGAGACAAGCACTCATAAATTGCGCCTTCAAGAGCGGCCATATTTTCTTTTCGGCAATTTGCACGCAAGACACGCCCGTGCTCGTTTCGATCTCCGGGTTCATTTCACCTATTACTACTACAGACCCGGTTACGAAGAAAAGATCTGTAACAATTTTATGGAACTACATAATACACACAGGAAGAACAATCAAAGGTAACCGCCCTGACATCGGGATCAGAGACCACATGAAGAGAATGTGCTTTATTATTAATATGGCAGTCCCTGCAGATTTTAATGTATCTTTTAAGATCTTCAAAAAACTATCAAAATACAAGGATCTTTGAAGTGGAAACCTCTAAAATATGACACACGAGGACATCAATAATTCCCCTTGTAATTGGAGCACTGGGATTGAATGGAAAAAGATTCCAATAGACACATTGAAGGGATTCCTGGCGGGCCATGCCTTAAAGAAATACAAAACAAAATGTTCTCATAAGTACAACCAACAACTTTCGAAGTGCTTTATCTATGTAAATATGTGTCATTTTTTTTTTTAAATTGCTCTGTGGAAAATATGATGACGCAATTTCTGACCTTAGGTCTCTGGGCCGGATCCGGAAAGAAATGAGTATACACCAGAAATCAAAGGAAATAATAATAATAATAATAATAATAATAATAATAATAATAACAGTTACTATTCCCGATTAACATAATATCAAGCTCAAAAATCTGGCAATGTTAACAATTACAGCGACTTCTGGATTCAAATTTCCAGAATCTGAAATGTCCGGTTCACTAATATCTCACTTATCATTGTGAATTTATGTTTTATGCTGCATAAACTGTTCATATTAGTCTGTACCACTCTACATCGAGTGGCTCTCAGGCCTTGTACAGTTTGAACATTATTGTAAAAAAGTCAAACCCAATGACACTTTGTTTGGGGTGTTATTCCCAAACTCAATAATAATAATAATAATACCATCTTGTATCAGGTTGCACGATATTGGCACCCACTGAATATAGAACCTGGTATGACAGAGTAGGCCAATATCTGGACTGGAAAATCTGATACTTCTACGGGAAGGAAACCTAAAGAACTTGGTATGAACATCACCCAGACCAGGTTACGAGGATAGAGCCTGTAACAATGGGACTTTACAATACACACAGACAGAACAATCAAAGGTAACCATGTTACAGTTTTTTGTATATATTATGTAACTAGTGAGTTAGTTCAAATGCTTTGACTCGCTTTATAGTCTACCAATAGAAGGTTAACCAATCAGAAGACGTGGAACATTCAACCCGTCGTGTATAAAGGCGGCCATTTTTGTTTAACCTAAACGAATGACCAGTGCCAACTTGTCAGGCGAAGATGAACAGAAGGAAGTACTACGCTCTGCTACTTTGCTGCGATATCCACTGCTAACCTGAACTACGCTTTCCTAATGTCTCCGAAATATTCACTGCTAACCTCTGGATTCTATACTCGAAGACGACCGTTATGATGTATAACAAACCACCCATCGCAATCAAAAAAATTGCTCAGTGGAAAATGTCATGATGTCATTTCTGACCTTAGTTCGGGACCCGGAAAGAAATGAGGATACACCAGAAACTAAAAGAAATAAAACAATAATAATAATATTGTATATTTGACGATCTTCAAAGAACTATCAAAATACAAGGACCTTGAAATCGAAATCTCAAAAATGGAGCAGATGAGGACATCAATAATTCCCTGTTTATTTGGCGTTCTCGGGTTGATTGGAAGACGTTCTTATAGACTCAATAAAGGAATCCCTAATAGCCTATGTCTTATAGACATAGACAAAAATTGTACTCACACAGCCCACACATTACGAAGAGCTTTTTCTAAGTAAAATATGTGTGATCTTAGAGTTCTTTTTGTTTTTTTGTTTTTGATAAGTGGAAAATGTCATGAAGCCATTTCTGACCTTCGGTCTCTGGTTGGGACCCGGAAAGAAATGAGTAGACACCAGAAACCAAAGGAAATAAAACAACATCTAAAGACCAGATCAAAAAAGTTACTTTAATCAAAATATATTTGCGAAAAATTTACATTTAATTAGAAAATGTAGTTTATCAACAAACAAGTGAACATTTTAAGCTTTTAATTGATTAATTTAAACAAACATTAAAAAAATGAGTTTTGGCGGGGGGTGATAAAGATAAGACTATGTAAATAAAAATAGCAAATACAGAACAAATAAGTCACAACGACAATTTAATTCTCAGTATATTCTCCATTTTGGTAAATTACTTCGAAAATTTGCTTTGGCATCCTCA